AAAGATGACCAGAAGTCTCAGACCTTTTTTTCATCTTTCCTTAAAAATCACAACATCCAGACTTTCAGAAGTCCTCACTTAACCTCCGCTCCCAGTTCTCCACAGCAGTCCTCACAGCACTTAATCACTAAAACATTTTTTCCTCCTGTTTGCCTTTCTGTCCCACTGGTGCAAATTAATTGGAGATGAAGAGACCAGCAAGTAAGAGGAAGGAGTGACTAGGAGGTGCAAATTATTGTGCTTGTTATTCTAAGTCTTTTCAGGATTTGCTTCGTGAAACATTTACAATCATAATGACAATCAGTGATTTTGCAGTGAAAGGGAGAGTGATGCTATTTATTTTATTTTTGTACTTTCAGCCACCTGACTCTGAGGTCTGATTGCTGTTTATTGTCTGAAGATTCCCTTGAGTGCCTTGATGACTTGGCCAATGTAACAACACTCTTATTGCACACAAATGCTTTAGTCACCAGCAGAGATTTAAGGAACAGGTAAAAGGTGAGAGCTGGGCTGGTAAATATTATACCATGTGCCATGTTGATTTAAAATCTGCTCGATAGAAGGCTGAAAGCCCAGGTCCTGAATCGCAGTAAAACTCAGTTGAAACGCAGAAAAGAAAGATTTCTTCTCTCATAATCAGCTTTCTATTAAAGCGATCTAAAATTATTGCCAGGCACTTCTACATATATCAAAACATCAGTAAGGTATTTTATCATCTAAATCAAGTGGTTGCAAGAAACAATATATAGTAGGAGCTATGAACCAGGGTACTGGATCATGTGCTCATCAGCTGTTATCTGAATATATTGGAAAATAAATGGAAAGTTGCAACAATATGTTTTTCTTTCTTTCTGAAAGTAATATTTTTTGTGATGTTCATGTATATTGGTGGTCATTAAATGGTAGAAAATGGCTGACAAAGTGCCATGACCAAACTTTTCTAAATGTCATTTGTTCTACTACTGACCTCTAGTTACTACAGGTCTACAAAGAGATACTGAAAGTCTGTGTGTCTGATGTCTTTTTCTGAGACCTAAAATTTGATTTGTTTTAAAGGATCCAGCATGTCATGTGATATCCCAGACATAATGAAAAATACGTAAAGCACTAAAAATGCTCAAGTGTATTTAGGTTCTCAAGCCTGAGGGACATACCACAATTATCTAAGTTACAGCCATAATCTCGAACAGTGGAAATTGAGTTGCTCTGGTACAATATTTGCTTCATTGAGAGCTAAAATAAAATTAAGGTGTTTCTCATCATTCATTGTATTTCTCTGTTATTTTATTAATTGGCTCTCAAACTGACATATCAGCATTCTTAGGCAATACACGTTGAAAACCTAGATAGACAGGTCCCTGACAATCAGAGCTTTGGGCATGACAAGCCATATTCCCTAGACTCCAATTAGAATAACCCTTCAGTAAAATGATTTACATACTACCTTTTAATACATACAACAATAGAAAAATGTTTGTGGGCAGTTAAAATATTTCAATATTTTAAAAACATTATGTAATCACAATGATCAATTATGAAAAATTTCAAATCCCATGCCACTTGAATATTCAGTAGAGGTATGAAAAACAAAATCTTCAAACCTTAACAAAGAGGTATGCCAATTTTATGGGGAATTAAAATGTTATTCTGTGGTATACAGTACATGAGTTATGAGTTCCACATCAATTTGTTTGAATAATCAAGAGCAAATTAAAATTGAAAAATGAATATCTCATAATTTAGCTGCACTGAAGAAACAAAATAAAATATTTTTAACTTCAACATTTTTAAGAATTTCAGTATTTTGGGGAATTTTGTACATAATATTGTTGGGTATATTTTACTACAGTATAAAGAGTTCTGTACTAGGCAAAGTTTCTAAATCTTGGTAAATCTTTGAAAAAAAAGATATGCAATGGCTTGTGCAAAATCAGAGCTCTGAAAGCTTTTAATATGCACTCCAATACATTGCATCCAACATTAATTTTACTAATTAATACGTACGACAGTGCCATATGCTCTTTTCATGTCCTGTTTTTTCAGAAAAATGAAGCAAGATTTAGATATGTGGTGTCAGATGGGGTCTCATCTGTGAAAGCAATATGGATTGATGTTAATTTTTCACCAAATCATATATCTCTTACTATAAGAATCTAAAGAACATTCTGTTTTTGTACTGCTAAGAAAAAAAACAAGGAAAAAGCAGTTTTATTAAAAGGTGAATTTTAAGGCTTCTGTTTTGGGGATATTTCTTTCTTTCCTGATATCAAGAAATTGACTAGCAAACTGATCACCATGGGCATTTCTGTGAAGATTCTCAAGCTTTATGTAATTGCTGTGCATTATGTTTAACTAAGATAGACCACGATGAAGACAACTGATTTGAGTTGGATGTTCCTAGAATACTATTCTTAGCATATGGCATAATTTTCCAACAAAAGACCTTCCACCTTTCTCAAACAATTGCCTTGTCTGTTTTTCCTGTTCATCTTAACCAAGTAAAAAGCATCAAAGTTGCCTCTCTCTATGCTTCCTAACGACTGTTCTCACTGCAGGCTATTTTGAGCATTGTTAAATGGGTCAGGATGACATACCAATTAATATTTGATTTTTGCTTCCTTTTGAAGGAAAAAAAATCTTCAGTTTCTCTATGATAGTATATATAAGTGGCAAGCACATTCATTAGCAGAATTTGTTTTACTTTGGCTGAATGTTTTTTGATATTAACAAAACAAACACAATGCTCTGTCTTATCATTAGAAAATACAACTGCAGTGACTTAAAATATCTTGCACATTTTATGTTTTCCTGATGTGAGATACCTTCTTGTTGGTTTTTAAAATTATTTTCTTAATTGCCTTTCAATTTAGCAATGCAGTCTGCAATACTGGGGCCATATTGTAATTGGCCAAAATGCACAAATTATGCAGGCTGATTACTTCACATTTTTAAATCATTAAGTGCCTGTTGCTCTTGATTTTGTGAGTAACAGCTTCATTTGCATATTTTATCCAGGGTTAATAGAAGGCAGAATAACTTCACTTTCAAATACACTTAAAAGTTTGTGGCTTGTCAGTCAAAAAAAAACCCTAATCAACATTGCAAAAACAAAACACAGTCTGAACAGCAGAAAATAGGCCAGGAACCCTGTCAAGTAGAATGAGAGAAATGACATGATTTGGGAAACCACAGTACTATAACAGGTACTACATTTCTCTCCTCCCTGGATTAGCAATGCATTGTGCATCCTGCTGCTCTTTTCTGGAAGGGCTGTTAGTTCATCGCTGTGGAGGAGCTCTGGTCTCCATGGTGCTCAAACTAATCTGATGTTGTGAGTGATGATTGGACATCAACGTTGAATTATGTTTCTAATATTCAGTTGAAACAATATCAGACACCCTGAAAGATGTTTTCGAAAGACTTACTATCTTTGTGTGGAATATTCCTGTATTTCCACAAAATCGGAAAAGAAACAGTACTATTGTAATCATGCCAATTGCTTAAATCAAACTGAAAACATTTTATTGACATCACCAAATTTTGAGTAATGAAGGTTAAAAACACCTCATATATAGAGCCTTTACGTTCTGATTATCTGATTCTGATAAAGTGAACATTCTTGCTTTTTCTGTACTTAGAATACAACGTGATTTGGTATCTATTATGCTGGGGTAGAAATTTCTTCAGAATTCCTAAAAAAGTGTTTTGCATGCACCTGATAGTCTCCCTTCTGCCATCACATAAAATACATGCCTGCTTTTGCAGTTAATTATTTAGATTTTTTTTCTGAAAGCTGTTTTTGGCTCAATATGTGAATTTGCTTTCCAAAGCCGTACAACAGAGACATGCTCTTTATGCTGTCTAGAAGCAGCTACTGTATAACATCGTAATATTATAGTCATTAGTTTTCTTTCATTACAGTTTGCCACGTTCACCATGGTTTCTCTTAATTTCACTGTGACGTTCCGTACTAGATACTTTAGTTTAATGTTAAAAACCGAAAGGACATGTCATAACATTACAGATTCCTTATATATACAGTGTAAATTTTTAATCTGAAGCATACATTGGTTGAAAAGCTACCTAGCCTAACCTTTTTCAGTAGCATTTATTTTGTTTTCACTGACTTCTCTTTTAAAATGAAATTTCAACTGTGCTTTTTTGAGACAATACATAATGTTGCCCAGGAATTTTTCTTACAGACAGTGGCTCTAGGCTGCAAACATGAATGTGGGTAAACAGTAGAAATACATTACTGGGAATTTGACAAATAACCATAGAAACAGATTTACAGTCTTGTTGAATACACAGTTCTGAATTTCTTACAGCAAATGGCTCAGCATTCCCTATTTTAGTTTTTTTCTCTGACCATACCACTATTTTTCTCTAATGGTAAAGTAATGGACAACAGCTCTGCCATTGTAACCTATACTTCCAAGTATACAGGTACAGACAGTCCGCCAGGTTAATTTTAAATGTGATGCAACAAGAAAAGACTAAAATCCACTTTATTCTGCAGGAAAAGTGAATGAATGGAGAAATACCAGGGTAAAGTGACCTTCTGATTCTGGTCAGGGTTCTGGATAAATGAAAACCAAAGCTGGTTTAGCTATATAGAGTTCCCCAATGTTGAAGAGACAATTTTTGTTTTTATCAAATAAAAGTTTTAAAAAACACATTCCCCATAGATTTCCAGTAACAAGATTTCAAAGTGAAGAGATGACAAGTAAAAAGGCATGCCACGCACGCTAAACAAAAACTGTTTTTACCCAGATTTACAGCTTCTGGAACGAGCAAATGAGTGACACAAATTGTTAGGAGCTGTCAGTCACCATGCTTTGTATGGATATTCAGCTATTAGAATCCACTATTTTATAAAAAATAAATAGTTGTATGTCAATAAAGATAAAGGAGTAAGTTTAACAGAATCCAATACAAGAGTGGTGCAGAATTCATATTCCACATTCTTAATGCACAAAATAGAAGACAAAAAATGCTTATAACTTTGAAAGACCTTGAGCTTTTTAATCTCAATCAAGAATGTGCAAACATTACACACAGTACAATAATCACAAAGGATCTATACTGTCTTACAAGGTTTGCCATGCATTCTATATAAGCAAATAAAACAATAAATGAACTCAGTCAATGAATAAGCTGTGGAATGTCACAGACAACATAAGCATTAAATCTGACAAAAGATACATTACTGTATATAGTGTACCGTATTATTATTAACCTGTTTAATAGGTTTCAGGAGGACCTGAAAACCAAGAGTGTATAGATGCCTATCTCTCTTGATGAGCAGTGAAGGAGAAGTCACTCTATCCACATTCTTTCATTGCTAGGTTTGTCAAAGTATTATCTTTGACGGCAACTTTAGTGGACCTATTCCGGCACACTGATGCGCATAGTAGTTAACTCAATGGTTCCCAATCCTGGTCCCGTAGGTCTAAACACTCTTGGTTACATGATTTAACCCTTAATTGACATTAGAAGAGAATTCATTTGAACTAAATAAAGTCCCAGACATTTGAGTAGGTTAAAGAATAAATATCCCAACCAAGCACCCTTAAGACTTCAGTTAATTAAGGTTTGGTAATTAGGCTGAGTAGGAATGAAAAACAGCAGGAATGTGGGCCTCAGGATTGGGCACCTCTGGTGTAAGTGAACAAAATAACCTGAAATATGTTAAAGCTTAAGCAAAAAAAAGCCATCAGTTTTGGGAGGAGCCTGCTGGATTTGGAGTAGCCTTGAGCCTGGTAGAAACTAGTCCTTCACCCAGTGTCCACCCACACCAGGAATAACCCCTTGCATCAGATCTGTTTTACTACAGCACTGTTTATCAATAACTTATCAGCTTAACACTTAAAAGATTCAGCTCTAGTTCTCTGCGTGTAAAATGCACACCCTTCCTGCAACCAAGAGAGCATCTTACAGCCAGGTCTTGTTCAAGCAAAATTGTCTGCTTGGGTAATAATTGCATACTGATTTTTGTACATCCATCTTTATACTTATTAGGAAATAATATATAAAAAAACACGTGCAGGATCAAAGTAGACTGTGCCATCAGGAGTGTGGCAGATGGAATATTAAGGATATTATTCCAAACCTCCTTTTCAGGCACAGCTACATACAGCCCTGCTATTGACAATAATTTGAAAGAAACTGATCATCAAAGCAAATATATGCATTGTGACACTTGACAATTACACTTAAAGTAATTTTAATTTGTAATGTTTTTAATGTAATTGCTAGATAAAATCAGTCTCATAAGGTGGAGCCTTTGATAAAAACAAACTAAAATTACAGAATTATTGTGTAAGTTTTGTGATGAATATACTTAAAGATTTCATTGATGACAAAGGAAATCCATAAGGACTTAACCATACACCTTATGAAAATAATTCATACATTTAAAAGAAGTCAAAGTAATAAAGATTTAATACTGTACCACTGAACTTATTGCACAAATGAAAATAACTAATCATATAACAAATGTGTCAGACTCCCATTTTAAGGACATGTAGACATGTTAAATTCTACCTTAATAAACAATCCAATATTTTTACAAGCATCATTTAATTTACATTTAACATCATGTCAATTATCTTGAGTTGGCTTAATGAAATTGTTGATGATGGACTTGGATCAGATCCTTGGACTACTTGGTTAATAGCAACCAGACAAACTAGACAGACAGAACATCCTGGTCTCATTTTGAACATTTCTAATGTTCTTACGGTCTGTTGGTGTCTATTATTCTGTGCATCAGGGCAGTTCTACAGCCCCGGCAGACAAAAAGAAAAACTGTTAACAGGCAAATCGACTGCCCCTTCTTGACAGAAAGTTCATCTTCAACCTCAAAGAAGAGGGACATTCATACTGCAGAATGTGCTGGTCTCTTAACAACAACGTAACAGGAAATTGAACTTAATAAACACTTTATTATACTCCAGGTTCACAATTTACAGTTTTAAATAAGAAGAAAAAACTCTGTTTTACACAGATACTCTGAATTTACCAATCGAATATCAGCGCATGCACTATGTATGATTTAATCCTGAAGCAGCTATTTGAGTGCATAAATGCATTGTGCTTGAGTTCCTTTCCTAAGACAATGGGTCGGTCTGATGTACCACACATGACCCAGTAGAGACACAGAAGTACAGTGCAAATATCAGAGAACGGACTATTCAATAATATACAGTAAACTAATGTCACTAGGAAATCTCACAATAAAACATTTTTATTCCTTTATATTGGTAGTATGTAACTCTTCAGGTCACACTGTTGACAGCTCCTTTCAATACATTTTTGTGCTGCTTATAAAACATTTTTCTCTCTTTTGTACCTGCAACTCTATACAATGTACAAATGTACAGTTGGCAAGACTTTTGTAATACAATATCAGGGACCAGCCCCCATACCCACTTGTAAAAGACTGTTTAAAATAACATTTCTTTTCACTTCTTTCTACACATCTATGACAGAAAACCACAGACATGTTAAGATAACAATAATACTAATTACAGTACCTTCCACCATGTTTAGAATAATTGCAGCTTGTAAAGCAGGAATTTGCTGCTTTGTATTCTAGACAGAAACAAGGAATGCATTTATATGTGTAAATCCACAAATCATTCACCTTTAAATCATCCTCAACACTTTCCCTGAATCTACAATTTCAAGTACATTATGGATTTAAAGACAATGTGCTGAATGTTAATATTTTTCTCACATTAGGTGAACAGTTATACCATTATTATTTTTAACTCCATCATCCTTCAAAGCCCTTTAAACTTTAAAGCACAACCTTAAAGTAATACAAACGGTAGACTTGTTCAAACCTACTGTATACCTTAGTGCAACAACAGCCAGTGAAATCATGAGATAGAACTATTGACATTATTTGACTTATGCTTAATACACTAAACTCACTTTCCAAATATCAGCAGTTAAGTAAGTATGCCTTTTTAAACATAGACATCTAAATTCACTTGTTGATAGCATGCTGTCAGTTAAAATTAACATTGTTGTCTTAAATTAATTTTGCTTTCCTTAAGCACACCACTCAACAAATACAGCAAGCCTGTAAAACCTCTGAAATACATTTTTCACAATATACTGTATATGTTCTGAAAAAAAAGCTATTCTGGTCTTATGTGGGCTATGGTCCAGCTATGATTCTATATCTCCACAACATTCCACTACAGAGTAACCTATACAGAACCCTATCTGTTGATGGAGCCATCTGTAGCAGTGTAAAGCACGGGCTGCACATCCACAAAGGGTTCAGTGATTTTCTCTTCCCTGAGGGTGGCAGCCTGGTCAGATACAGAGGAGAAAGACAAGTGGTCGTGGTCTAGGATGGTCACACGGTCTTCTGGCTTCTCCCTCTTCAAGTAGAACATCTTCCTAAACTGTTTCAGCTGCTGCAGCTCGCAGAAAGTCTCCAGCACCACCAGCATGGCAATCAGGCCCAACAGGAGGTACACTGGCAGAGAGACAAACACACATACACACATTAATTACAGGTTACAGGCCAGACAAGAGCCCTCAGCTGCTCTCGGCTCTTTCCCAGTAATTGAAAAACCTGTAGTGAGGATAAAACGCCTGGTAAAAAAAACACACCTGTCTATGGTATTTACAGAGCATCACGATTAGTGGTTTGCTCAAAATAATAAAATATACTAAGCAATTTTCTTTCTTTTTTGACAAACACTACTTGGTACACCTGTAAAACTTTAAAAGAATATCCCCATTATTAATATCTGCAAGAAAGAAAACAGAAATAAAGAGAGGGATCGGGAATGCTTTCTTTGGAAAAAAACTGTACCAGCAGTAGAGACACTATCAACCATCTGTCGCCCCTTACTGATGTTAATTGTAAAAAGGCCCTGCTCGCGGGCTCATTGTACCTCAGACGTCAATGCCATCATCTGCTAAATGCTTCTAAATTACACTGATTAAACCAAAAGCAGCTGGGAAAGGTAACTTTATCTAAATGACAAGGAGTGTCTCCTTGTGTCACATGAAAAAGCTTTATAGCCCTTGAAAAGTACAGGCAGGCACCAGATGGAAAAAAGAACCAATGAAACAAGGTTGTTGTTGTTGCAGAGACAAAACCATGGCTTGAAAAACAACATGGTCTAGAAAAAATACATTTGCTCTTGTAATGTCACACTGTATCGAAAACTGGATTTAAACATATTTCCGTCCACGGAATTGGATAACTTCAAGGCTCAAGAGTCAAGATCTAGTTAACCAAAGTAGAAGATGTAGTAGTTCAGGTGGGTAACTGCGTCTGCATGCGTAGGCTGCAAAGGAACAAGTTATAGGTTTATTCCATGCTGAAAAGAGAAGAAAGAAAACACAACGTTTCGGCCGTGGAGCCTTCTTCAGCTTCACACCTGAAGAAGGCTCCACGGCTGAAACGTTGTGTTTTCTTTCTTCTCTTTTCAGCATGGAATAACCCTATTACTTGTTCCATAGTATAAGATTCTTGCCGCTTGAAGGGGACATTTGTCTTCCTGTACTGTGCTTTGAGGAACATTGCTAAGGCACTAATTATATCAAAGCACATAACATCTGCTCTCTACTGCAAGTACTGTTAGAGGTGCTGCAATTTAACTAGCTGTTCCTCCCTGTCTTCTGCATCCCAGACACCGGCCTTCAATGGATTATCCCTCTTAAAACTGCACCCAGTAGTACAATCCAAAACCAAGAAAATGGTAAATAGATAAGATAAGACTTTATTGATCCCGAAGGGAAATTGATGTAAATGGCCATAATGTTGAAATGACAGTCCATATGGTTACCTGCAGATAGTCACAGTTCTTGTGGGTTAAGAGAACACAAAATAACTTAACAGTTTTTACATCCATCCATCTTCTAACCACTTAATCCAATTTAGGGTTGCAGGGGAGCCAAAGCCTAACCTGGCAAGCAGTGGGAGCAAGGTAGTTTAGACCCTGGATGGGGCTCCAGGCCATTGCAGGGCACACACAGACATAAACATGCACACCACTCACACCAGGACTAATTTTCCCAGAAGCTTATTAATGTACCAGTATGTCCCTATCACCCTGCAACTCACAGCTGGCAGCCCACTGGAGCTCAGCAGGTGTGAGCCTGGTCAGTACCTGGATGGGAGACCTCCTGGGAAAAACTAAGGTTGCTGCTGGAAGTGGGGCCAGCAGTACTATAAAAAGGCGCCATCCATCAGATAAGATGTAAAACAAAGGTCCTAACTCTCTGTGGTCATTTAAAAATCCCAGGAGCGTCTCTCAAAAGGGGTAGGGGTGTTACCCCAGTGTCCTGGCGAAATTCCCCCCTGGCCTTTACCAATCATGGCCTCCTAATAATCCCCATCTAAGAAATGGCTTCATTACTTTGTTCTCCTCCCCACTGATGTGTGGTGAGTGTACTGGCGCACTCTGGCTGCTGTTGCATCATTTCATTTAAAGCGCTTTGAGTGGAGTGTCCAGAAAAGCACTATATAAGTTTAAGCAATATTATTATTATTGAATTTGAGAGGAAACTGGAGCACCCAGAGGAAACCCACACAAACATGGCAAACTCTGGGCAGATAGCATGCCAGGACAGGAATTTCACCCAGGGGCCCAGCACAGTGTGGCAGCAATGATAACCACTGCATCACCAGACTGCCTTAACACTTTTTTTAGTAACCCCAGATAAACAAGGATCCAAATATTCAAAGAAAATCATCATTTATCACTCCATGGCACCTCACCCACTCACAAGCACAGGATACGCACCGGTGATGCCCAGTTTGTACAGCTCTCTGAACTTCTGGTTGTAGCCCTCTCCCGGTACATAATCCCCCAGACCAATGGTGCTGAGGGAGATGAAGCAGAAGTAGAAGGACTCCAGGAAGTTCCAGTTCTCCTCCAGGGCAGAGAAGACCACAGCAGGAATGATGAAGAAGCAGGACGCTGTGATGAAGGCCAGGAAAATGGCATGGATCATCCCCACCAATGGCTTGGAGAGGCCCCAGTGGGTGTGGATGTAGGTCACGGGACGGCGGGTGCTGAACACCATGATGCGCTGCACCACTGCTGTCAGGAAGAGGAGGGTGAAGGGGATCCCGATCACTGAATAGATGATGCAGAATGCCTTGCCCCCGTCTGAGAGGGGCACCGTGTGGCCGTAGCCTGCAAGGTAGAAGACGTACATGCTGTTAAAGTATAAAAATAAGTCTTATCAAACGTCACAAATTGAGACAACACAAATGCTCTCCACCTGATCTTCCTACCAATCCTTTTACATGTATATATATGCTAAATGTTAACCTCCGAATGTGCAAACAAAACTTTCACCTGAAACCCAATGTACTGCCTTTGATTTATTTTCTTGGTAAGAGAACATGGAAAATAAATACGTTACCACATTACAGTAGAACAGACAAATGTGTATTTTTCTATCCATACTGACAACGTCAAAATGCACAGAGTGAAGTTGTACATAACCATTTATTAAACCTACAGTGCATTGACTGTTTGCAACATTCCTCAGGCTATGGGGTAGAAACATCATTAACCTGAACCTGTGGAACTTGTGACAAATTAGATTGCTCTGCCCTGACTGTGTCCTTCGCACTAGCCCCCAAGGTCTTTAGGATAGTTTGCATAGCCAAGTATCTGCACATTTGGGGAAGTACAGTGTACAGCAGGTAAAAGAACTCCCTGAACAAGCCTCTACACTCAACTCTCAGATCTGGTTCCCTCCCTGAAGATTTATGATCTTTGTGACAGTACCTATTAGTATATATGTTGTTAAAAAAATAGATGATCTAGCACGAAGGGCCATATTGTAAAGATCCTGCACCATAACTGACGTACGGGATGATGGCACTGAACTGCCTGTCAGGAAAGCCAGGATTTCACATGCGTTTTATTGTGCCAGTAAATAGAAAACATCAAAACCCACTGTAGAACCCCACTGCAGTTTTCAAAGACCAGAGCCATGAACCTGCAATTCTACATCAAACATGATCTGCTAGTCTGGTGACCTTTATGATAAAAAGAAAGAGCACTACTCGTAGCAGTGAAGAGCACAACAGAATGGTGGGGAAGGAGTCATACCTACAGAAACACTGCACGTTAGTACTTAAATGTTTTGTTGTGCAACAGTACAGCTACTGTATCTATGGACTACAAAAGTTTATTTATATAAGTCCTTCCCATATGTCAAAAAATGTTTCAGTCTACGATCACTCCACACTTCATCATGATCTCTGAATAATGATAAAGCTTTTCATCTCATTCTTTTATTGTTCCCTTTCCTGAAGGTGAAGCAAGAAAAGTTGCGATGAACCCTGTCAGTTGTGCTTGTTACAATGTAGTGGATGATGCAATAAGGGAGTGATACTGAAAGCAGGCACACCTGAGCTTGCTGGAGGGCCTCTGTAGTAAAAGGAAGGGCGTAATTATGAAAATCAATAACCATTCAGTGTGCTACAATATTTCCTGTGGTTCTTTTCTTCTGTGCCTGCCAAAGTTAAAACCCAATGAATAAGCAGTTGGTAATCTTGAAAGTCTACGTGTACATAATCACCACCATTGTCAGACCACAGTCCAACCCATTGGTCTCTGTTCTCACAATTCGGGTTCTCCTAGTCAAGAATCCAGCTCAGCAGCCTGTTAACAACAGGACATTCAGGGCAGTACTGGGTCTTTTATTACACAAACCACTCATTTATTCTTACAGGGGTGACTAAACTTCTTTTATTTTCTTTTATTTTCTAAATGTTAAGTACTTCTCTGCAGAATGTTTTCAGATAAAGCGTTTGACATTGAAGGAAGTGATTTTATGGTTACCAGTGGGAGGGACAATTCTTTAACAGGAACAAAGTGCAACTGCTCTTTGAATACAGTAATGGTGTGATACCTAGTGACACAGATATAACCATGAGAACTCCCTTGTTTATAACTATGTTCTAGGTTTACCATTCACCTAACAAGGCAACTGCATTGATATGTCATTATCATCAGGAAGTCTAGGCCAAATATCCTAAAGTAAACCGATTATTTTAAAAACAACTCTTTACAGGCTTTAGTAAGGACAATGGTGAGATGCCAGTGCCGGGAAAGGTAAGTCATGGGGATCGTGTTTCCTCACTGCAGTCAGACGAGCCATGCTGACGGTGAATGGTGACTTCTGCTGGGGCTCTCAGGAGTCGAGTTTCACCTGAGCGCCTGCAGCGCTCTAGAGACTTTGTATATCAATGCGCAGAGAAAGGAAATGGGTTTCGAACATATAGGGTTACATGAAGTTTCATTAGATCTTCAGCATTTAATCGTGGACTTCGAAATAGATCTGTTTGTAACTTTATTATTTGGCTGATTTGGTTATTTTGCTGATGGAAGGAAAAAAAGCAAATCGTATCTGTAGGACAACAAAACGAGTGGATTTATGTTGTCTAAAGGTCTGAAATATCATGTTTAACCACCTAATAATACCCTCCCCCCCAAAAATAAAACAAAACTGCGAGGCCCATCGGGATAAACTGATCGATGTCAATCAAGCACCCCAGTCTTAACCAAAGTGTAGGATGACTGTGGCACATCAGACGCTGAACAAAGGCTCCACTGAGCGAACACATGCATATTATTACAGGTCAAAACATTCCATGATGCAAATCTAGGCTCACTGCGCGACCACACCCTTACTGGCGTGACACATAAGTAACACAACATGAAAGTGATACTATAATATATTTTCCCGACAATCAAATTTTGAGCCATTTAGGAAAATCCACTACCAATTTACATAAAGCAGATACAACACGGCTATTTCGACATGCCCCTTTACTGAACATCCTGCATCGCTGTATTTGACTTCCCCCCGGTACTTCCTTACCTGTGGTAGACAGAACTGTGCTCGCGAAGAACAGAGCTGATGTGAAGTCCCAGTTCCAGTTGGCGGTGGCGTTGTTCAGCATGGAGACCCCATAATTGCTGGCCTCCAGCGCCTTGGCGAGGAACTCCTCCAGCCGGTCCTCCGACAGGCACTCGTTCTCCTGCAGAAACTTCCGCTTCACATTGCGGAGATCTTGCCGGAGCTCGTCCTCATAAGGCAGCTCGACCGAGGAGAATACCACCGCCCCGAAAATCAAATACAGCACGTAGCCCAGGATCAGAAACAAGAAATACCACGTCGATTTATTACTCTGTATGAGACGCACACATGAGTTACTTGTGAGGGATTGTAACATCTTCCAGTAGCTAAATTGGTATTAACAGTAATGTTACTGTTATTTCTCAAGACCGTATCCTTTGCACCAAATACGACTTAGAACCAGCTAGGATTCATTTGTGTGTCGCATTCGCGCAGCGCCAATTCTTTTTCCCGATCCCTGTTTTTCTTTGGTTCGGTCGGTTCACATTCATTGAGGTTAGATGAGCTGATGTGGCGATGACTTCAGCCCGCCTGTGACGTTATTGGCTCCCCAGCCCAGGTAACAGGAGGAGGACCGAAGAGCTTCCTTAGCTACAGAAGGAGGCAGTGCTTCGGCGCGTAGCAGCGCAGAGCGAAGCGGCTGACAAAAGGACTGAAGTTCAAACTCACTCCCTTTGTGCAAATGCCCGCTCGCTCTCATGGCACAACAGTGAAATACAGATAAGACAGACATATTGTAGCGGACATATAAGGTACTGTATATATTTGCGTAGATATCTGCCCAGTGTGTGCATGCGTACTTATGTATACGTGGCCTGCCTTAGCATACAAGAAAATGATATAATAAAATCATCCTCGACATTCCGGTTTGTCTGGGATTCTGGAGGTATCGTGTTTTCATGGGTTGAAGACTCATTTGATTTCAAGCCTTGGAGTGATGGCGACGTGGAAAAATCTAGACCGTTTTCACACGATATGTCAAGTATGTTAATTTAGACTCCGGTGCTATGCATGTGGTGTCCGACTATCAAATTACAGGTTTCATTCTGATATGTCTGTTTTGGCACAGCACTCAACAACAAGCACAGGTCTTAGCATATACGCTCAAACTGCCCCCGTCTTCTTTTTAACGACATTTATAATTTCACAGGAAACTCCCACACAACGCACAGTTAGAAATAGGAAATAACAATAAACGGTGCTTTTGAACCTACAAAATAAAAGTTTCATGCAGCTTTTAGATCTAGAAAAGTCGTCAAATGCAGGCTGCTTCACATTAAAAATATCCATGCTTTTAAAGATTGGTGCTTCATTATGTTATCCAAGTAAAAAACAAATAATTAACATAGTGAAGACGATTTGGTGAATGGAAGCGGCAGTATACATTAAACTCACCCTCACACACCTCAGTCTCACACCACACAGAAACACGTGCTGTAAGGCTTGTGAAAAGCAGATACTGTATGCATTGTGACTCTTGCTAAACTTGAGTTTCTGCATCATTGCACAGATTGAATTCTCAGATGACGCCACAGTGAATTCCTTTACAGACGGCTGATGCTCATTTCGTGTACCTGTCTGTTGTAGTTTATCTACTGCAGGGTGTCCACCCAACAATAAGCCAGAAGGGGGTTTTACTGTTGAGTTCATTTTAACTGTAAAGGGTTACAGTTAAAACGTTAAAACGGAATTCATTCACCACCTGCGCACTGCCAAGAGTCATGTTTTTTTTTTCTGAGAGGGGCAGAAACGAAGTTCTGTTCCAGGAAACCTTTGCTCTTTCTTTTAAGTCTACCTACTCAGATCAGGAGGAGGCCCTGATACCCCCCAGGGTTTCTTGCTCCGTATTTGAGAGGTTTGAGCAAGATGCGCACTTTCATAAAAACTGAAAAACAAGCCAATGAAATGAGCAGGTCGCATAAACTAGGAAATCTATGTTCTATGTACTATGTACTATGTATGTTTAAAAAAGACTCCTACCTACTTCATCACATTACAAACATGGACACATGACCTAAGCGCTTGTTGATGGCATTGCTTACAAGCCCAATTAAGGTTATGGGTAATAAATAATATAATCATCGTTTTACGAAAGGGATGCGTTTCTTGAATGTCTTCCTTAAGCAAAAATTTGATAAACATGACTCCCTTAGTATAGATAATGCAGTGAAGTACAGTAAGAACAGTAACAATAAATGATAGTAGTAAAGCAATGTTGATATATATTACAGTTATTGTGCTAGTTTTTATTTATTACAATAAGTGGCACTAATTAAGACAAACATACAATAAAAAATGGGAAAGAAGGACCTAAAACGAAAAAGAAAATGATGGAGACCGCAAATTCCACATCGCAAGCAGACGTTGACAAGCGCTTTATAGTCGTAAGTATTTTTTAGACAAAACCAAATTCAAAAGCTCTGAGCATGCTTCTATACCAACAAAGAACAATCAAAACAAAAACGGACTGGACATACAAGAGTGGACTGGGCAGTTGTTTTTCATTGGGCAGGCGTGATTTATAATATATTTTCAAAAGCATTATTGGGAACCTTCTTTAAAAAGTGTGTAAACCTGATTAAACACCCAGATATAAGATCACGCCACTCCTCTATTACACAGTCTGTTCACATTCTATTATCTTGCTTCGTCTTATACACTGAAAGGGAAGCTTTTTTACATGTACTGTATTTTTCTTAAAAAGTGGACTTGCCAACAGCAAAAAGACATACTTAGAGTGAGTTATTTGACCCACCTTTAATAGCAGAACCCATTGTAAATGACAGTAATAGTCTGTTCTACTTTTCTTTTTATTAATGGCCTGCTTTCATTTTTGGGGGGCTCAAGAGAATACAATAGCAAAATTGCCTTTAAAATTGATATGCTTAATAATTAACCATCCTTTTTACTGTTAAGAGTTTGAATTCTGAAATAGCTGCTCTTTGGATGTCCTCCAAATGTACTTATACCCCCCCAACAAAATCTGGAACAATGGACATCAAATAGCAGAATGATTTACAGCTTGGAACATCTGAAAATGTAATACAGTAATATTATCAGCATTAAATAAAGCAAAGTCATATTTGTCATCAATAATTCACATTCAGAATACACAAGAGTGACATTGATTAGCTTGTATTCGTTTAGCATACAGTACAGTATACGTGCATAGGCTTGACACATGTTCTGTTCTTGATTCATGCCTGGGTTTCACTTGTGTCCGTTGTGTTACGATCCCCGCTTCCGGGCAACGGAACAGGCAGAAGAAGGCGTAGCCCATGTTGAATTAAAACAACCTGTAAGACCACGTATTCACCACCACACCTCCGTCTCATCTTGTACTTAAGCACAGTTTTCCCCTACCTCCGCGCTCAGTATTGGTTTTCAGTTTGAGCTACTTTGTCGCCCTACGCCTTATTCCCCTCTGCTACTTTTTTGCTTACGGACTCTTGGTTTTCTCCTTCGACTACGGCTTCGGTAGCTCTCTCCCTGGTTTAGGATTACTGGCTTCCCCTTTGGACTTGATTCTGTATCGCAGTATAGATTTTTTTCAGGGTTATTTTTTCAGATCCCGCAAGTGGGTTCATTACTTAGCTTCGGTATCATTGGCCAAATCCATAACACAGTGTTTCACTGTTGGTTCTGAAGACATCATTAGGTTGACTTTGTCAGTGTCTTTGAGGATTTTGATCAATACCCTCATGGTGTTCTCTGCACAAGACTAAAAATTGGCAAAGCTGCCAGTGTAGGACATTCTTTAAATTCTTTTAATGAAAATATGCGGTTGCTCACCTCTGGACTGATGGTCTTTTTTGTCATGCACTTGCCACAATTTTACATACTATTCGAAATGATGTTTTAAAAGTCCATTTTACAACTGTAACATAACATACCTTGACCTTAAGTTTAGGATTTTAATTTTACATCCTATCATTTTGCCCTTATCATCACTTCCCCCACATTTTCTAAATGTCTAGGGAGCTACTTTTGTGAGTGTTGGCCACAAAGAAAAATGTAAAGGTCAATTCCATACTGACAAGTTCAAATAAAAACCTGGAAAAAGTAGTAACCTGGAAAAGCATTCTGTTATTTCCAGCTTGGAATTAACTTTTACTTGTTCCTTGTCTAGAAGATGTAAATGATGTACTGTATCAGTATAAACATCTACTTCTTTTTTGAAAGCAGCCAGTATGTGGGTCCCATGTAGTATGTACTCAACTCCATGCAATTCCTGCAGTTTACAATCCTAGGCTGTTTGCAGTCATGTACATTAATCCCTCTGTTCCTGGCTGTCTTGAAAACTGGGCCTGATATTAAGATTAGATAGTGCTGACAGTACCAGCTTTCAGGCTGTCTACAAGTTCAAGGATCACTTAAACAGGAATCACTCATTTCAAGGGTGTCTTCTATCTGGCCATAGGCTCTTGGGGTGGGCTCTCCTGGTGTTTGTTATGAACAGCAGAATGAACATATCACCCTGCCACTCACAACTGGCAACCACTCAAGCTCAGCAGGTATGAGCCTCGTCTGTACCTGGATGGGAGACCTCCTGGTAAACAATAAGGTTGTTGCTAGAAGAGGTGTTAGTGGGGCCAGCAGGGGGCGCCCTCTCTGCAGTTTATGTGGGTCCTAATACCCCAGTATAGTGATGGGGACACTATACTGTTAAGAGGCACTGTCCTTCGGATGAGACGTAAAACCGAGGTCCTGACTCTCTGTGGTCATTAAAAAATCCCAGGGTGTTTCTTGAAAAGAGTAGGGGTGTAACCCCAGCTTCTTGGCCAAATTTTCCATTGGCCTTTACCAATCATGACCTAAAAATCCCTATCTCTGAACTGGCTCCATCAATCTGTTCTCCTCCCCACTATGGAGGCGCACAATGGCTGCCATCGCATCATCCAGGTGGATGCTGCACATTGGTGGTGGTGGAGGGGAGTCCCCATTACCTGTAAAGGGCTTTGAGTGGAGTGTCTAGAAAAGCACTCAATAAGTGTAAGCAATTATTATTAGCAGTAGAGTGCTGAGTGTTTTAAAGTTATAGCTCTAAAGTTTAAGGTCTAAACTGTAGTCTAAGAAAAAAAGGTTATTTTGCTGTTAATTAAACAAATCTTACTCCTGCTGGTATCGGTGCTACTGTTAGTACTTACACTTAGTCCAATAATATCTATACAAAAACAGTTACAAAGATAGTAACAGTCAATAATATTACAAATATTCTGATGTCTCCACAAAGACTGAACACATACAGTACATTAAAATGATCCACCAATGTGGTGAATCAAGCAGGAAACCCATAATTAAAATGGATTACCTTATTTCAGAGGAAGAGGCAACATACTGCCCCCTGCCTAGAGATGCTCAGCTCAAAGTGTCGCTTAAGGCTCAGGTGTACCTTAGGAGGATGAAATCTAAAGGCCAGTTACAATGTAACCAGCCTTAAACACTTATTCAAATCCGAGTGAACTGGGAGTGTCACTTGGGATTTTGATGGGAGTTTTCTCTTGCCTACATTTGCATGACATGAGATGTAATGGGAATGCCATTGCTGAGAGTAAGTATGGGACCTCAGCCATATTGACAGTGGAGATTAGCTAGTTCTGCAATACAGTTTAGTGGTGACTGGTACAAACTACTGACGGGTACAAACAGAACCATTTTCCCAACCTTGCAGTGAGGCGTGGGCAGGGCTGCTGAAGCATTACTTTTCACAATTAAAGATGTGTCCATAAAGCACACAATCCTTTTTCCACATCACAGACCTGAGGACAGTTCAGAATGACAGTGATTTATTGTGCTGCCACAGTTAATAACTGGTTCTAACGTAACGTCTCGTTCTCTTGTTGTAAGTTACAAGCTGCAGCTGCTTCTATTTTTTTTTTCAATTGAAATGGATTACTAATTTTGATTTAGGTAATATACTCCACTAAAACAGTATGGGATCACTAGCTATACCTCTGTGCATGAACAGGGAGAGTCAGGACCTATAAGACACGCTGCCACATCATACCAACACACATCATCTTTTGACAATCTACAAGTTTCACAGTGCTTTATGGAAAATTTATTGCCGACTGGAGGAGTAATGTTTCTTTCACTGGTGTCATACCAAGTGTGCAGATGAACAGGTTGTTGATTTGTTGTAACTGAAAACGGTAACTAATTCCCATCACACCCCTCTGCCAATGGTGTGCCACTATCTGGGGAATCCCAGTCTCTGAAGACAGTGGTAAAATGCAGGATCAACCCAGCAACATGTGGACCTTTAGTTAACCTGTAGTTTGTAACATCCTTCCTCCAGTTGTAGAGATCATCCACATCTTCTAAAGGATGACTGCTCTATCCTGTTCTTGGCAGTTGAAAACTTTCTACCGCTGCTTGTACAGGCCCT